CTATGGCAGAACAAGTGTGTATTTAATAATAACTGTCCATGGGTTAGGGCAGTTGGGGAAAATATGCTGGTTTCTCTCCAGGATTGCATTCCTGTGGAGAATAACAAGGACGCCTGCTCTGCGAGACAGTGATGATGCATGTTGGCAAATGCAGTCTTTCAGCATTCCACAGTGGTCTCGACACACTCATAAATTTCTACAAAATTCCACCATTTGTCGTCAGTTTCTCCTCAACTCTGTAACAACACTGGCAACAAAGAAAAGTTTAAATACCATCCCTTTTTCAGTTGCAGTACATGTACAAAAATCCAAACATTTGCCAGATTTCCTGCCTGTACATCTCATGACCACATGGAACCTATTCAAAACTAAGGAATCATTAAATAGAACCAATAATAAAATGAATAAAAAAATCTAGATTGAATAATGGGCAAAAAAGTGGATCAGTGCATGCTGTATGCATATATGGAAATATCACACTGAACCCCATCGATAGTACATCAATATGTGTTAATAAAAAAATAAAAAATAAAATTCAAATATACTCAAAAACTAAAAAATGACAAAAATATGAATAGATTTTTACCAAAGAAAATACATCAGTACCTATTAAACACATAAAAAGATGCATAGTTATTAAAGAAAGGCAAATTAAAACTACAATGAGATACATACCATTAGAATGGCAATAAAAAAAAAAAAAGAGAATAACAAATACTGGCAAGGTTACAGAAACCCAGGAACCCTTATACATCACCTGTGGAAATATAAAATTGTACAGACTATTTGTTAACCATTTGGCAGTTTCTTAAAAAGTTAAAAATAAATTTACCACAGAGCCCTGCAATTCTAATCTTAGGTATCCACCCAAGATAAATTAAAGTCTGTTTCCGTACAAAGACTTTCCACATAAAGACTGAATATTTACAAAAGCCCTTTGTTAATATTTATAGGTAAATATTCCTAGTAGCTTTATTCATAATTGAAAAAAATTAGAAATGACCCAAAAGCTTATCAACTTGTAGATGGCTAAACAAAATGTTGCCTAGTCATCTGATAGACTACTATTCTACAATAGAAAATAACTTAATAATGATATATGCTACAATATGGATGATCTACAAAAATAGATCAGTGAACGACTCATACATACTATATGAGTCCATGTACAAGAACTGTTCAAAAAAGCAAATCTATAGAAATTAGATTAATGGTTTTCTGGGCTGGTGGGTGAGAAAAGGGAAAGACTGACTATAGGTACCAGGGATTTTTTTTTCTTTCCAGCATATTAGGCTCTCTCTCTTTTTTTAAAATAACTTTATTTTGTTTATTTATTTTTATGTGGTGTTGAGGATCGAACCCCGGGCCCCGCATGTGCTAGGCAAGCACACTACCACTGAGACACAACCTCAGCCCCCAGGGATTATTTTAAAAAAGGTGATGGAAATGTCCTGAATTTGGATTGTGGTGATGGTTACAACTACTTACGTTTACTGAAAAATCACTGAATTATCGAAAAGATGATATTATACTTCACTAAAACTAAATAATCAGAAATATTACTACATAATTACTACCTAGAGATTATTTACTAGTGATTTTCTAATAATCACTCTTACCAAATATTCACTAAATAATCAGAAATATTACTTATTGTTTGAAATGAATTAAATAATCAACTTCTGTCCTGGTTAAAAAAATGTTACTGCTTTAACTTTCAAATTCAGTAAGACAGGCTCTCAAATCTTTTTGCTTCTCCCAGGATTTGGGGGCTTCTATCATTTTTAAAAAAAATATTTATTCTTAAGTTATAGGTGAACACAATATTTTTATTTTACATTTATGTGGAACCCGGATCCCGCCCATGCTAGGCAAGCGCTCTACCGCTGAGCCACAATCCCAGCCCAGGGCTTCTATCATTTGGACCCAGGAAGCCTGATAATTTTTTTTTTTCAATGAATTGGTGCAACATAAAAACTATTCTAAATTACCAATCCCTCAAATCATTGTTCTGTGTCATGGGGAATTCCTAAAATGATCATATTTTCATGAAAGAAAGCCAGATTGAAATTCAACTGAAAACTCTGCACTTGCTTAAATAGTATACCTCATAAAATTATATTTAAGTATGCTGCTACTAAAAACACTGTATAAATAATGATGCATTGTATGGCTGTTACAGAAAGCTACAAAATAATATCTAAATACTATATATTTGTATGTATTCCAATTTCATTAATATGGGGAAGAACCTTGTAAATATTTCTATGTTGGTTTTCCAAATTAAAATAAATCACACAGAGGAGATAAAAGTTACAAATGGCATATAATGTAATTTCTTGCAAAATTAGAATAAAGACCCTTAACAGGAAAAATAAAGCAGGTCCAAAGTTGCTTTTGTATTCATTAGAACTCTGAGTTGCAAGAGACAAAAATCCAACTTCAACGAGTTTAGGTCAAAAAGAGGATCATACTGAATTATATAAACAGCAAAGCATGGGGGAGTTGTATCCAGATACATCTCCATTTTGCTCTCACTAAGCATCTGTTTGTCTCCAGAACAGCCTCTGTGCATGCACCTCTCCCAATCCTTGTTCTAGGCCAGGTCCCCCAGAACTTCACAAAGACAAAGTTTTTTTTTTTTTTTTCCTCTGCCAGCTCCACTTAAAACTCTGGGGAAAAACTCTGGCCAATCCAGCTGGTGGCCCAAGCCACCTCTATTACCAGAAGGGGGTGAAGTAGATAGCTGCTGAACACATAAATATACATGATGCTCACAACAGTATTAATTTCTAAATTTCTGTCTGGCTTCCAAACATAGATCACATCTTTTCCATGTGCATGGTAACCTTAACAATGGCAATTGTTGACATTCCTACCATAAAAAATATTGTTCCTACTATGTACAAAGTATTTTGCCAGATGATCACATTTAAGTTTTAGAATAAACCTGTAATTATGATTATCCTCATTTTTCAGGCAACAGTGATACCGTTTAAAAGAAAAGAAAGAACCGTGAAACAAAAGAATTCATTGTTTCTGATTGCACCTGTTTCCCTCCCTCCCTTTCTCCCCCTCTCTCTTCCTCTCCCTTTCAGTCCTTTAAGATCTCGCAACTATACTTACTGCAATTATCTCATTTGTTTAATATTGAAACAGGACATTTTTAGTAAGTTTCTCAACTCATGGTTTAGGAAGATTTTTGAGAAAAAAGCATGACAATGCATAAGGATTTGACCTATATTAACTCCTCTACAGACTAGATTAGTCTGTGCAACATTTTCAAGATTATAAATGTTTAACAATCCTCTGGAAAATTTTTTTTGATACTGGGGAATGAATCCAGGGGCGTTTAACCACTGAGCCAAGTCCCCAGCACTGCACCCCCTTTGTATTTTCTTTAGAGACAGGGTCTCACTGAGTTGCTTAGTGCCTGGTTAAGTTGCTGAGGCTGACTTTGATCCATGGGCCTCAGCCTCCAGAACCATGGGGATTACAGGGGTCCTCCACGACGCTCACTGAAATCTTTTTTTTTTTTCATCGTTTAATATCATCAAATTAGTTGTCCTAATTTTCTTTTCCTCCCTGTTTCAAACACACTAGGAATTTTTCTACTAAAGTTCAGAATATTACCATCTTGTCTTATTCATGCAACAAATTCGTTTACCAAATGTTTGCTGGGCTGCTATCAATTGCTCCCTGTTACAGCTGGAGATAGTACTGAACATGTTGCTTACTGTGTTTTTGGGCACATAAGTCATCTCTTTAAGTTTTTGTTTCCTCTGAGAGTACCTACTTCATAGGAGTATTGAGAGGACTTAAAATAAATAATATATAAGGAATTGGCAAATATTAGATATTCAAGAAGCATTATCTATTACTGTTCTCTTTTTATTTTATTTTTAAATTTTCAACGGATCTTTTATTTTATTTATTTATACTCAATGCTGAGGATCAAACCCAGGGCCTCACACATGCCAGGCAAGCACTCTACTACTGAACAACCCCAGCACCTATAATTGTTCCCTTAAACAACTTTGACGAATATTTGAGCACTTATGGGCAATGATAATGAATATTCACTCTTTGCCTTCAAGAAATTTACCAGTTAGTGCACTGGGACTGACATTTTTACAGTTGAAGGCAGTTATATTACTAAAAAGAAAGTTAAGAGTTTTTTTTTTTTTTTGGGAATGAAATGGACCTGACAAGAATTTGCAAAATGGGGGGGGGGGGGGTATAGGTATAGGGTAGGAACCAGGAATGATAAGGACCCAGAGGAAGGATTTGGTAGAACATCTTCAAAAAATGGTGAACAGGCCCACTGGCGTCTTTACTATGATGAACCCAGAATACTATTAGCAGATAAGAATGGACATGTGAAATAAATATGAGATTGGAAGATATGTAATGATCGTGGGTTTTGAGAGATGATATAAATTTGATTTTGGTTTCCATTAGAAATTTTGAACAAGAGAATGACAGCAATAATACTTTTTAATTTTCTAAAGAATGCACTTCACAAGATTAGCCTGGAAATAGTGTGAGGGTAAGAATTGATTCAGGCAATAATTAGGCGACTGCTTCAATAATAGTAGTCAACAGAAACTTAGGTTTTGCAAACGGTAATAAACATCACAAAACAATGCAGGTGCCTAAAATACATCCGGAAGGCATACATAATCTTAAGTAAATAGGAAAAATTTGCTTTTACTAAAGATTTTCTTTAAAGCCAGTGCCTTATTTCAGCGACTTTCATCTTTGAAAGTTGAGAACCAAGAGACGTGGGAAGGAACAGAGGCGGAGCCCAGGAGAAAGGGGCGGGAAGAAGGGACCGTAACCTCAAGGGGTGTGTGCAGGGGCGGGGACCCAGGCGGAGGTGCGCGGCTGCTCCGGAATATCGCGAGAGTTGGGCGGGCCGAGCATTCGCAGCAGTCAATTCCCCCACCCTCCCGGGAGGAGCCGCCGGCCCTGGACTCTCCAAATTCTGAGCTCTCATCATGGCGGCGGCGGCGGCCGCGGCGGCCGTCGGGGGGCCGCAGCAGTCCCAGCCCGAGCTGCCCGCGCCGGGGCTGGCCTTAGATAAGGCGGCCACTGCAGCGCACCTCAAGGCTGCCCTCAGCCGCCCGGACAACCGCGCAGGTGCTGAGGAGCTGCAGGCGCTGCTGGAGCGGGTGCTGAGTGCCGAGCGGCCGCTGGCCGCGGCTGCGGGCGGTGAGGAGGCGGCGGCGGCGGCCGGCGGCGGGGGCGGTCCGGGGGCGGCCGAAGAGGAGGCCCTGGAGTGGTGTAAGTGCCTTCTGGCGGGCGGCGGCGGCTACGACGAGTTCTGCGCCGCGGTGCGGGCCTACGACCCCGCGGCGCTCTGCGGCCTGGTCTGGACAGCCAACTTCGTGGCCTACCGCTGCCGGACGTGCGGCATCTCCCCCTGCATGTCGCTGTGCGCTGAGTGTTTCCACCAGGGCGACCACACCGGACACGACTTCAACATGTTCCGCAGCCAGGCCGGGGGCGCCTGTGACTGCGGAGACAGCAACGTGATGCGGGAGAGTGGGTGAGTGGAGCCCTCCCCCTGGCGAGGCGACCCCAGGCGGGAGGCTCTGCTGGCAGCCCTGCTGGGGTCGGGGGAGGCCTGTAAAGGGGAATTGGGAGCCGACCCTGAGCTGTCAAGGCAAGGGTGTGGGGGAGGGCACAGCCACATGGGGTTGAGGTGACTGAGCTGTCAGTGGTGGAAAGGGGGTGGGGAGGAGGGGAGAGCATATTTAGAAAACCAGGCTGTGGATTTTCGGCGAGGGATAAGGAGAAAAGAGCCAGTACGTGGGGTAGAAGGGGAGGGAGAAAGAATGGATACTTGGGGAATCTGGTACGGAGCTGTCAATTATGTACTTGTGGGAAAGGCTGCAAAGCTGTCTGCCGGGTTCTTGAGAAGAGACTTAGGAAGTGATTTGGATTGACTGGGAGAGGGGTGATGTTGGGGGCTGAATTGGGTCACAGGATGATGAGAGCTGGGGAGGTGGACTTGCAACTGCAGGAAAGGACGCGCGGGGAAAATCTTCTGAACTGTCAGTGTGTCTGTCAGTAACAGCTAAGGAGCTCTTGAGCTGATGGGGGTTGAAGGAGGAGGGAAGGGGAGGGGCCTGCATGAAAAGTGACTGTTGAGCTGTCAGTGGAGTATTTGTGTGCTGGAGTGACATCTAGAATTAGGGCTATTGAGCAGTCAGTTATTGAATACCCTTCATACCAGAAGAACAAACAAAACCTTGAGCAAATTAGGAATCAAGTGTTAGCTCTTCCCCAGTTAAGGGCACTTTAATCACCAAGTAATTTATGAATGTCTGTCTAAAAGGAGATATTCAACAAATGCATCTTTAATAGGATCATATATATTTGACAGGAGTTAGTGTTAGGTGCTGGGACTTATGACACCACAACATTTCAAAGTTTGCAGTGAGTTGAAGAGTTAATACAAATAGGATTTTGGTGTGGGACATAATGTCAATGTCAGGGAAAATCCTGAGATAAAAGGAAAAACAGTGAAAAAGAGGAGATTTTGGCTAGGCAGCAGTTTAGAGAACATTATCAAATTAGTTATTCAAGTTTTTCAATTTTCAGGTCTTAATAGGCTGTTTTTTTTTTTTTTTTAAAGAAATGGTCACTTTTTCTTCTTTGAAGTACTTGAAGTACTGTTATTCCAAAATATTTTTACTTATTATGTGCAAGTAAGGCTCCTTGGATGTTAAAAATGAGTGGAACACCGACTTACCCTTTAATCCACTTATACTTGAGCATAAAGTGATAAATTCCTTAAGTAGCAGCCTGGGGATTACAGGAAGAAGAGGAGACTTCGGTGTCGGTGTAAGAAAAAAATCTTCAGAAAGGAGGTGTTTTGAGCTTGCTAACAAAAACAGCAACAACAACTACTGTTGAGCCAACATTTGAGGCCTGGAAATGTATGCCTGACACTCTAAAAACATTTTTTTCTTAATATTTTTTTTAATATTTATTTTTTAGTTTTCGGTGGACACAACATCTTTGTTTGTATGTGGTGCTGAGGATCGAACCCTGGTCGCAGGCATGCCAGGCGAGCGCGCTACCACTTGAGCCACATCCCCAGCCCCTAAAAACATTTTTAAAAGTTTAATGTTTGAGGGGCTGGGATTGTGGCTCAGAGGTAGAGCACTCACCTAGCATGTGGGAGGCCCTGGGTTTGATCCTCAGCACCACATAAAAATAAATAAAATAAAGGTATTGTGTTCAACTACAACTAAAAAATATTTTTAAAAAGGTTTAATATTTGAATAATATTGAATAAACTATTAACATAACTAAAAAAGTAAAAAGCAATACTGTAATAAAAATATACACAATTTGAAGTTTCCCTCCCATCTGATCTATCTGCCCAGTTCCTTCTAATTATTATTAGGTTGTCTTAGTGTAAAATGGAGATTAATGTTTCCTAATTTTGCTGTCATTTTTTTATGGAAAGGGTTGCACTGTTCTACATCTTGCATTTTTACCTTTTTTAAAAACATGTCTTTTCATATTAGCAAATCAGTGTTCTCATTCTATTCTGTAAAAACTGCTACATAGTGATCATGCCATGAATTTGCCACTCTTGATTTAGTCATCTCTCTTTTTTAAAATATTTTTTAGTTGTTGATGGACCTTTATTTTATTGACTTGTATGTGGTGCTGAGAATCGAACCCAGTGTCTCACCCATGCTAGGCAAGCGCTCTACCGCTGAGCTACAACCCTAGCCCCTAGTTATGTCTTTTGATGGCATTTGGGTTTCCAGTGTGAAATAAAAAAAACATGGTATGCCTGTCTTTTCCCACTTGTGCAAGAATATCAATGTGATAAATTCTCAAAAATGGGATTTCTAAATTGCTCTCCATGGGCTTATTACTAAGCAGTATATCAGGCTGTTTATTTTCCAGCAGCCTCATTAATAGATTGTTATTACACTTTTTAAAAAATCCATTTTTGATTAAAAGTTGTCATATTTTAACTGCTTTATGTAATTTAATTCATTTTATCTTCAATTTTGAGACAATTGCTGTTATTATTCTCATTGTACAGAAGAGGAAAGTAAGGGCACAGCATTTAAAACTTGGACAAGATCATACGTAGGGGGCTTAGTGGTAGAGCACTTGTTTAGCATGTGTGAGGCACTGGGTTTGATTCTCAGCACTGCATATGAGTTAAATAAAGGTCTATCAACAACTAAAATATATATATGAAAATAATTAAAAAAAAAGATCATACATAGGTAGGAAAATAGATATACTGGCTCTAGAGCCTGACTGCTCATTCACTTTTCTCTACTTTTTTTTGGGGGTGGGTGAATTAGGGGGTTCTGGGCTCTACCACTGAGCATACTGCCAGACTCTTTTCTTATTGGTTCTTTTGTTCAATACTGCGCATTTAAAAAAAAAATAAACCATTAATTTTTAAAAACCTTTCTTTTCTCCTCATCATCTCTCCAGTCTTCCTCCTTCCTCCTTCTCTTTGAGGAACATCAAAACATAGGAGTTGCAGCACTCCTTTACTGTTACTTGGACATTTTTACTTCTTACAATAGGTTAACATTTAGAAGACCCCCAAAGAACATCACAGTAGGAAATAATACTGATTCTTTCTTGAATTTTGGAATACAGTGGTCATTATCAAGTTGACTTAAATGATACTCTAATCTGATCTAATTCCGTGCAGGAATGGAAACATGTCAGTGAGTTTCTTTTTCTTTCTTTTTTCTTGTGGTGCTGGGGATTAAACCCAGGGCCTTGTGCATGTGAGGTAAGCACGCTACCAACTGAGCTAGGGCCCTGTCTTTGAAGGTACTCATATAGGTTTAAAGGGCATCCTGTAGATAGTTTACATCCTGAGCTCATGATAATTGCCTTACTGAGATTTCACAGAATTTATTTTTCCCTAACCTGTCAGCCTTCTATGAGTTGATAAATAGTATTTTATGATTTATTTTCTCCATCAGACATGTAGAGTTATTCCTCTATATGCTAGTGTTTGCCATGTCTGATTTCAGAAAGGGCATGATTGAACAAAAAACAGTATTGTGGAACAATAAACAGTATTATGTGATTATGCAAAAGTTTTTCAGCTCCTTGGGTTGGATGGAGTAATTCTTCTGTGCTGTACACCTAATCTGCTTTAAGAGGTAGATGGTGTTGGCCAAAAGTGCAAGGTAAAATGATACTTCTGAAATCTTTTTAGAATTAGAAATTAATAAATTATCACTATTCTAGTAGGCTGAGGCAGGAGGATTGCAAGTTCAAAACTAGCTTCAGGAACTTATCAAGGTCCTAAGCAACTTAGTGAGACCTTGTCTCAAAATAAAAAGATCTGGGATGTTGCTCAGTGGTTAAGTGCCCCTGAGTTTGATCCCTGGTATTTCCCCCCCCCCCCCAAAAAAAAAAATCAAATTATCACTGTTCATAGTAAGAAAAGTGGACTACCCTGGCCTGGACAGATTTATTTAACTTTTTTAAAAAAGTTGCAGTATTCTACCTTTTTAAAAGGGCTATATTTTTTTTCTTTTTAAAAAAATTTTGTGACAGGGCCTTGCTAAATTGCCCAGGCTGGCCTTAAACTTTGACTCCTCCTGCCTCAACTTCCCAGGTAGCTGGGATTATAGGCATGCATCACCACACCAGGCTAATTTTCAAATGTTGATGCAAAATTTGACTTTCATATTCTGTCCTATCATATAGATGTTTTTTGCCTCCTTGCTCTTTAAAAAATTCTAAGCTCTTTAAAAAATAGGGACTGCCAAAGCCAGTGTACTTTCTTGTGTTTAATAGATGCCAGTAAATGTTGAATCAAATTAGGCTATACCTAAAAAGTTGCAGTTGTAGCTATTTGAGAGGAGGTATTAATTATCAAATTTGTGGCAACTTTTTTCTGAGCGCTTCAGGGATAATTTTCTTTTTTAATTTCGAAAGTAATACATTTTTGTAACAAAATAAGTGGATAAAATAAAAAAAAAAGTTTTTTTTTCTATTCTACTCCTTTTTTTAAAAAAATTTTTTAAAGAGAGAAAGAATTTTTTTTTTTTTTTTGTGGTGCTGGGGATTGAACCCAGGGTCTTATGCATGCTAGGCAAGCACTCTACCAACTGAGCTATATCCCCAGCCCGAGAAAGAATTTTTTAATATTTATTTTTTAGTTCTTCAGCAGACACAACATCTTTGTTTGTATGCGGTGCTGAGGATCGAACCTGGGCCGCACGCATGCCAGGCGAGCGCGCTACCGCTTGAGCCACATCCCCAGCCCTCTATTCTACTCCTTAATGACAGATTTTCTTTACTATCCTTTGAGCTTAGTTATGCATTAGAAGATGTTGATTAGAATTTATCCAGCATTTTAAGAGATTTTGCTTTTGTGGTGCTAGAGATTGAACCCAGAGCTTCAGGCATACTAAGCAAGCACTGTACCACTGACCTACGTCCCCAGCCCTTGATGGTTTGTCATGGGAGGTTTTAGGTTGTTTGGTTTGTGACAGTGCTAGAAATGGAAGTAGTGAATGTCTGGTTAGT